ATGCTCCGATTAACAGAATAACAGAGTGTAACAACTATAAAATCACAATAAAAGCCAACTGCTTAAATACATGTCATTTAACACAGCATACAGTATGGCAGAAGCTATTTTAGCATTAGCAACAGATTCTCAAAGGTGCAGAAAGGGAGCTATGGTTTTGAGTGTGGTGACAAAATGAGCTTCATATGTTGCGGTCAATATGCCAGTCCATCTGACCAATGAGATTTTAATTATACATCTATAAAATAATTGTTAGACTCTTTATTTCCAATTTTCTTCATTTACATTTAAAAAAAACCTGACATGCAGTGGGAGTAAGGAGAAGATTGGGATCCAGAAAAGGCAGATTCGAACTTGTGTCGGTTGCGTCAAAAACTAAATCGGCGTTTTTACTCTCCATAATACCGGGCAATGGTGGGCAGAGTTAGTGTAATTAGCCTCTTCCAACAAAGCGGGCTATTTGCACTTAGTGTGAATAGACACGCTGATACAATATTTATACAGTAAATGCCTCAGGTGCAGGATGTTTGCACCCGCTAGCACAAGCAGACCACAACGTTTGTTACCATGGCAACTGCTTGCATTTCCGCACTCCAAACCGATTCTCATGTGTCTCGAAAAGCATCTATACACATGCAAAACCCTTTTAAACACAGGCTCATACCCAGATAGCAAGAACGTTTGGGCCAAATGTGGCTGATAGCTGTCACATTTGGCCTAGGTATGGCATGGCTGAGCACATATGGGCCAAACTTTAACCGTATATGTTTTGCCATGGATTTAGAATTGGAGGGAATTTTCTTTTGGATGACATTTTTTTTGAGGTATATGGTCCAGATGATAGCACCCAACTGAGAGCCATATGTGGCTTGGCTATGGCACACCATGGAATATGTTAACTTATGGTTAACATTTGGCTTTTATTTGGAAAAACACATATAAACTGCTGGCAGGTTAGTGGCAGTCCACATCTCAGCCCATTCAACAATGCTATTGGTTGCTTTGTGTCTTCCCTTATTCCTATTGGTGGATTACTGAAACTTTATATCCGTTATTTCCAGCTCTGCTTCCTCTTTCAATCGCCGTTAAAAAAGATGATGATGAAAAAGCTCCCTATTTACAACAACAGCCTTTTTGCCCAGACACATTCTTATTCAGGTAAGTGCAGTTTTGGTGTTTTAAATGTTTTCTAGGGGTGTAATGGTACTAAATTATGTATATTTTATCAGGAAATTAAATCCATAAATGCCGTTTTAACGCTCTTTGATGTGGCGTGACAGACAGCTGCAAGCAGAAGCGCCGAGAGCGACACATACACACTCTTAAATATTATAGGTTGCACTGAAAGGATCACACACATATGCATTACAGTGTTACTGTATGACATTCTGATGAGACTGTCTGTAGCTAACCTACTGCTACTCTTCGACAATTCATTAAATGGGAATTTCTTCCTATTTATTTAGGAAAAATTTGCCTGTTTTACAGATCAAAAAATTTAATTAAATGAAGTTGAGTAGTGTTCGAGTTGCACTAGCACCACACTTCTCTGCCGTATTTGAATAAGAAAAGTCTAGTTTTTGATAAGTTCGTTTTGTTTTGTTTTATTCCATTGCAAGCATTGTCGGTATCTCATACTCAGTTATTTTCAGGGCTGATGAGATATTCAAATCCCCTCCAAACCTTTGTGAATGCCTGTCCACCATTTTGAATTTTATTGTCAGTTGCTTATCAAAAATCACTCCAACATTTCCCACATTTGTCCACTTAAGTAAATGAAAAAAATGAGCGAATTTGGATACTGAGTGTGCTGGAAGGGGTGCCGCTTTTGCATACTTTATGCTTGCTGTTTATTAATAAAGGTGCGTTTCCATTACAGATTTGCGCAAAACTTTTGCGATATTTTATAAATGTAGATTAAAAACGATTGCAAAATGGCAGTGTTTCCATTAACGATGTTATGCGACTAAAATGTAACTTTTTCCTCTCGCGATAAGTCATGGTGACAGATGTTGGTAGCTTTATCACAGCCACCGCACTAGCCATTGTTTTTAATCAAAGGAGACATATGCGTGTATCTTTAGCAAAGCAGCACGGAGAGCCACTACTGGGATGCTTGTGTGCCTCGGCGCAGCTGGTATAAACACAAGCATTGACTTCAGTGGCCGTGATTAGCTCCGGTGGCCGTGTCAGAGCCGTAACGCACCGCAGACGTGTGCAATGTATAAAAAGGGGTTATCCAAACATTATCCAAACGTTTTTGGAAAAAAGTTGCCAGCCACCGCCAGCATTTTTGAGGATTTGGACTAAAATTTCATGGTCCCTAGAATATTTTGTTGTATGAATATCTGAACATGCAATACATCAAAATAAAGAACAGACCCTCTAATTTTAAACAAAAAAACTTTTGTCAAAAGTATTTTTTTTATATATATATTTTTTTTTTATTCTAGCTTCAAGCATTCTTTTTTTATAAATACTTGAATGTAGGTATAGGTTTCGTAAAAAAAACAAAAAAAAAAAACATTTTAAGCAAAAAGCTGAGAAAATCGCATATTTATCAAATACTACATCTGGATCATATTCAGTAATATTATCAAACCAAATGTGCAGTAGATGGCTTCCATCAGCACTCCCTAAGCTTGCACAGTCCTTCACCACTTCCTGGATCAACATTTCACTCTGTAACATTAGGCAGTTTTCATTTATATGCTGTTTATTGTTGATAATCGCATTATTTTTCATATGCATATGCTTACATACGAGATCGCTTGTTTCTGCATCTTCCTCATCTGTGTTTTTGATCGAGTGATTCTAAACTCTTTCAGGAGATGCGTAATAGCATATAACAGTGAAACAGTGTAAAACAGTGTATAACAGTGAAATCACGGAAACACAGAAAATTCCATGTTTGGCATGGAAGCGTCGTCTCATGAATAACAGAAAATTCCGTGTTTGGCGGGGAAAGAGTTAAAGAATGATCATGTGATTTTTTTATGCACACCAGGTAATATAAATGCGGGGGGGAAAAAACTGTTTCCATTGCAGTTTTGCAATATATTCCTTTTTCGAATTGCCTGAAAAACCACCTCATGTGAGCGTAAAAACGTTTTTTGCGATATATACGAGTTTTTGCGAAATTGACGTTTCCATTAGCCATATTTTCAATTCGTAATTTCAGTTTGCACAATTTGAAGGGCAATGGAAATGCTGTTAATGCGGATGTGCTTGCAGTGCTTATGTGGTAAGCTCCGGGAGTAACAAAATTATCTGTATTGAAATCTGTCATGGAAACTAGCTTGTACAAATTGTAATTAATAAATGTATTAAAGGGGTCATATGATGCTGCTAAAAAGAACATTAATATGACCCCTTTAATACATTATTGGGGAACTTAAACCTGTGCGATTCAGCTGTGGACGCCATCTTCTGGTGAGACAGGAATTAATTTGCCACAACCCACACACTGCATTCTTGGCTTTCTCTAGTGTTCATCGGTTGTACACTCAGCATTGCAGTGCATTATGGAACCGAATAAGTGCACTCAGTAGAGTTAGCTATGGTTTCGGACATCACTACAAAATGTCTGTCCCTTCAAATAGCCTAGTGCTCTAACAAATTTGACACAGCCAGTGTAGTGTTCATTGGATCTCCACCAAATTTGGCTTGGATCATCATCAGACAATTCTGGCTATAATACATCTGAAATTTTATTTGCAAATTTGATGGCAAGACAACAGCAAGGATCTGAGCCTGCATCCCTGCAACCCACTTTTGTATTGACATGCAACTTCATATGTGCAATTGACAATACCATATTGATTAGGTGACAACATTGCATTATTATTACATTATAAAAAATAGCTTATTAAAACGGAATTAAAGTGCCTAATGGAATGATTCATAATTACAATACAATACAAATACAGTTTACAAAAGATTACACTACAGTTTCGCATAAATGAAAGCGTTTAAACTAGTTTCGTGGGCCATCTTTGACGCTGAATGGCGACAAAACTGGAGCGACCAGAATGAATGAAGCAGGCGCGGTGTTTGTGCGTGTGTTTTTAAGGGATCGCTGGAGTGCAAAGGAAAATCAACACTCCTCCACGCCATCCTCGACGGAATAAAAGCACAGATGTGCTGTGGTAGTGAGTGACGGGATCTGAAAACACAAATACCCCATCCTATTCTTAGCATCTTACGCCAGAGATCAGATATAGCCTCGGATGTAAATATGAGTCACTCCTCCGTCGAGCTGCTGATGAACGGATGAATGAGCTGCTGTGCGTGTATTGCAGTGCTATCAATTCTTCATCTAAAAGCACTTACAGTTGTAGCTACTCTTACCCTCCATCACATACCGCCAGCCATTTGCAGAAAGAAGCGATATTCGCTGTCAGTAATATCTGAATGAGGATTCATAGAGAAATCGACACATGCACAGATACACTTCAGCAGCCAACAGTAACGAAAAGAATCTTAAGAAATGAAATCATGTGTTTGAAGACGACTTCTATAGCATGCATGCCAAATCTCATAAGGAGCGATGACTGATAATTTCACGAACAACCACCATCAAATATGACGCTTTGTTTGTAATTCTTGGTGGGGAAAATATTCAAGCGTGTGGCAGTAAATGCATGTGAGCACAATTCTCATTGACACGATCATATACAATTCTCTCTCTCTCTCAGCATCCTTTTGGTTTTGTCATCTTGAGGCTCAGGTGTGTCGATCTCTCTGATCTGACGACGTCAGCACATCAGAAACCCCGTCTTTAATTCCCCTCCGCAGTGAACGGCACACTTATGTTCGTGAACCGAGACCGTAGCCTAGAAACAAGCATCACACAGCGATCCGTTCCTCTCACAATCAATCACACGGCTTCTCGCTGTCAAATCGTAGATCTCGTTCGAGGAGGAAAACAAATGCAAACGAGATGGCCCTATAGCGCATGTTGTAAAATAATCTGGTAGGAAAGCGAGCCTTGGTCTTACCTATTCACCCCCGCCTTGGGTTCGAGGGATGCTCCAGCGCCGGCCGCCGCGCCATTGACGGGCTTCAGGAGCTGTCCAGAGCTCGGTGCTGAAACCGACATCCCCACCATAGCGGCCCCTTCACCGCCCTCCATGCTCGCCTCGTTACCCATGGCTGGATCTAGCGAGCAGGCCGATTATGTTTTATAATTGCAATAACCTCAGTGAACGCAATTATATAAAGATGCGCTCAGCGCCGATCTTCCTCCGCCATCATCACTCTCTCTCTCTCTCTCTCTCTCTCCTGCGCATACAGTGCGCTCCAGCTCGGGTGGGAGGGGACACAGAATCAGCAACTACATACACGCCTCTAATGTATCTAAGCCATATATTTATTTATATACGCGCAACATTTAGGCTATACTTCCAGCTCTCGCTTGTGGTGACATGAGATAAATACCAGAAAGAGAGATTCGCGCTCGTATTGTGTTACAGTCACATTGGTCGTGTTCTGCTTGAAAACTAGAGCAGAAAATCTCACTTCTCCTATTAAGCTATTACCGCTGGCAATCCACCCAGAAACCTTTTAGTCTTCTTTCTGCAGCTCAGTCATTGTGGTTTACTGCGGTCTTATGAACTCTCAGTAATGGCTCACAGGAGCATTTTTTTTTCTTCTCAGTATAAAGCATCAGCTTTCAAACCCTGCACGTCAGTTTCCACGTGAAGAGTGGGAACCGACTGAATCCCAGGATGCTTGCAGCACCATGATGGTGTTGACTGGCACAGCACTTTATGTCTAGCCGAGCGCAATAACTCATTTTGTTCACCATGCATATCACAAACGCACTTTAGAGTGTAAGCGCAGCACATAGAAAGATTGCAGATTAGAGTTAACATAATATAATACAATATAGAGGTTGGGATTTGAAACAATTGCTCTGCAATGGCCTCATAGATTGCTAGTGTTTATCCTTAATTGGCTACGACAGGACATCCCATTCAAACATAGATGTAAATAAATAAATACAATTAAAACTTTAATTTAATTAAAAATGTTATACATCAGGTAAGCATTGAACAGGTTTGTTAGTAAGAGATTTAGCTCAGGAATATTATTGACTGATTTGAATGTCTTATGGAATGCCTGTCATGTTTTGCACAAAGTGTAGACTGATTTTGTAAAGCAAGTGGGAATGTTCTTATCTCACTCAGGTAACTCTGGTTTAAAGGAGTGCTTTATAATTCAGCTCTGGTTAACTTAAGTTGTTCTTGTTGTGTGTGTAACTACGTGGTGAGCGTGATTTGACCAAGTACAACATGTTCCTGGATCAACATCCTTGTTGATCCTGGAACAGCATTCCAATCAACCAATCAGAATTGAGATATAACTTTTCAGGAAATGTCTGTTTTAGGCTTACGATCGGGGTTAGGTGCTTCTACACTCTTGTTAATCAGCTATCATTTCCCTCTGATTTTAGGAATAAATTATGGGTAGGGTTAGGTTTAGGGGTAGGGACTGGGTTTAGTCTATATTTTTGGACAGTAATGTTGATCCAGGATCAACAAAAGATGTTGATCCAGGAACATGTCTTACTTGGCAAAATCACGACGACCGTAACTACGTACATCTAAGCATCATGCTACAGCGACAGTCTAGTTGGCACAATGCTTTGCCCAAGATCTCATTCTTTGGTTTTGCTTGCTCTTCCTTTAAGGTCTTTATCTTGTTTAATTTCTTTTTGAATTTGGGGTGAAATATGACCTGGGTGTTATTTTGTGAGTTAAATCCTATCAGTGGCAGCTCGTCAGCCACAGCCTACACAAGATTTTGAGGTGAAAAATAGAAGGACAATTCAGTATTAATTCATTTTATGTCTCAGAATCAAGGCCGTATTAACCATTGGGCTAGGCAGGGCTGAAGCTCCGGGGCCTGAGCAAGGAGGGGGCCCATGATTGGCTGTGGAGTAGATTGACTGGAGCGAGCCCCCCACTTATTAGCGCTATTATTTAGTTGAGCTTTTACGTAAATTCCATGCATTACCATTTGAGATTGAAACGTAAAGTCTGGATTTGGTTTACCAATCAAATGCTTTTATTCTATATTTGACACGTATCTATCAGGTGATCGCTGCCCAGTATGTCTGCATTCACCTCCACTCTTCACTTCGTTCTGGAGTAATCTGGAAATGGTCGCGCAAAGAACAATATTTGATAAGTAAAAATGTCAGCAATCCTGAGAGAGAGGGGCTCAAAAAGTTATGTGTCAAAATGCCCATCTTCGCGAGTATCCTCGTAAACAGTTATTTGTGTCTTAAATGAACGTTAATAGTTAAAGATAAAGCATGTGTAGTATTAGGCTATATGAGATCCTGGATTATATGGTGAGATCTTAAAAGGATAGTTCACCCAAAAATGAAGACACTGTCATCATATACTTGTCCTCAAATTGTTCTAAACCTCTATGAATTTCTTTTTTCTCCTCAACATAAAAGAAGATATTCTGAAGAATGATCATAACCAGTTTCTGGTCCCCACTGACTCCAATAGTGTATTTTTTTTTTTTTCAGATATGGAAGTCGTGAGGGCCCAGCAACTGTTTGGTTACCAGTATTGTTCCAAATATATTATTTTGTGTTCAACAGCAGAAGGAAACTCATACAGGTTTAGAACATCAACAGAATTTTCATTTTTGGGAGAACTATTCCTCTAAAGCAGTCTAATATAGCTACTGTTACCATTTGTGTCAATAATGTAAATCAAACATCAGAAAGAAAATCACTTACTGTCCTTGACTGAATCACTTTTGTAAAATAATTAAGAATGAATGTATATTGAATTTATACTGTGAAGACTATTCAGTCTATTTGCACATTTTCTTTATACAATATATTTATTATTCAGTTGTGTGACTGTTTATCTTCAGTAAGCTTATTTTTACTTAGGCTAGTATTATTTTTTGTGATATTGAAATTGGTAACAAAAATTATGACATTTCATTGCATCAAGAATTTTGACATGGGATAAAAGTCCCATTTAAAGCTTTATATATATATATATCATTATTGTGATGGGGGGCCCTGCAGTAAGTCTTAGCCCCGGGGCCCAGTGCGGTCTTAATGCGGCCCTGCTCAGAATGTGTATTTTTTGTTTGTAATTTTATTTTTGTAACATCGTAAAATATTACTCAAGTCAGAAGCACTGCTGTACTGTCTTGTGAACATGTTGAATCTGCTGATGTAAAAAGACGAGTCTGAGGAGAAGGAGGCAAAATCCATAGCCACACACACACACAAATTGGTTCTTCAGCAGTTCTTTGGGGTGATTGAGGTGCTATATAGCACCACTGCCATACAAATAACCTTTATTTAGATTTATACATGATCTAAATGAATAAATAAGCTTTCCATTGATGATAGGACAATATTTGCTGAGATACAACTATTTGAAAATCTGGAATCTGAGAGAGCAAAAAAAAAATCTAAATATTGAGAAAATCATCTTTAAAGTTGTCCAAATGAAGTTCTTAGTTAGGCATATTACTAATCAAAAATAAAGTTTTGATACATTTACAGTAGGAAATTTACAGAATATCTTCATGGAACATGATCTTTATTTAATATCCTAATGATTTTTGGCATAAAAGAGAAATGGATCATTTTGACCCATACGATGTATTGTTGGTTATTGCTACAAATATACCACAGCGACTTAAGACTGCTTTTGTTCTCCAGGGTCACATATAGTCTTGCTGTACATGTGCAATCATTTGCTTTTTTATATATAAAAAAAAAAGAAAAAAAAAAGCATTTTACAGCAGCAAACAATCAGAAGTCCATAGTGGGAGATCACAACAGACCACTATAATTTCTTATTTTTCCTCCTCTATTTAAAACCCACCATCCGCCATTGCAACCTGTTACCTTTTAGCGTCACACAGAGAGCGAGCGCATACTTGAAACCCAAAGGTAATATAAAGCCATTCACACTCAAGATTGTAAATAAAACATATGACAAAAATACAATTTGTAAATGTGCACTGGCTAAACAGAAGATGCTTATAATGGTAAGATATGAATCACTGACATTACTAGGTCAGCATTGCTCACAGAATTAGGTCACAGTTAAGGAAGAACGCTTTCCTCTTTAATACTGGAGTTCTCTCTAACACCACAGTCTACTCTAGCCATCCAGCATATATTGCAGATACAAAAGGTGGTTACTTACAGATTTCATTTAATTGTATGTTTTCATGTCAAACTCAACTTTAATATTCAAATACTCAATCTAAAAATTCAGTTATCACTTTCACAAGAGCCCCAGTTTGGGAACCCCTGGTGTGATGCAATGTTTAATGCATGTAACATATGGGTTTGTGAAAATTGTTTTTCATTTGACAATAGCATCTTATCACCTTCACATTTCCTCAGTTAGTGATAGCACTATTTTATTCTATTTAATTCTGTATTTGAATTATTAATGTTTGGGAATGATTTACTGTTTTATATACATATATATATATATATATATATAGCCATTACTGATGTAAGGGAAACAGTGATAATTTAGCTCAAAGGGAATCATTTAAGATTTTAAAGGGAAAAATATTGAGAAAATCATCTTTAAAGTTGTCCAAATGAAGTTCTTAGCAATGCATATTACTAATCAAAAATTAAGTTTTGATATATTTACGGTAGGAAACCTACAAAATATCTTCATGGAACATGATCTTTACTTAATAAATAAAATTTTTGTCAAAGAAAAATCAATATCAACAGACATATTTTAAATTAAACATATATATTCTAACCAACCACTAACCCTAAACTCAAACGCTGGTAACCCTCTTAATTAATTAATTTTTTTACCTAATTTGTTTGATTATATTATGAGCTCATGTATTCTGGTTTTAAATTCAGTTTTCTTAGAAAGACAGACCTTATTTTCCATGCGAAAGATGGGATGGAATTTGTTGGCAAAATTAAAGAGATAAGGAAAACCAATGTTTTTCGTTGTTTCAATATATTTTGTCAAAACGTTTAGTTATCTAGACATCTGTCAGCTGTTACTGTCAGACAGTCTATTAAGAGCTCATCTGTCTAAACTAGCTTTGTGGAGTAACCACTCAGGAAGACTGGGTTTATTTTGGCTAAAACAGCCCCCTTTGTAGAACACTAAATGCTGACAAAACACAGTTGAATATAAGACGCAAGACATTTAACTGATGAGTAGTCAAGACAATGTATAACCTATGATTTTAATTCAGAATTCAACAATTATGACATGAAATGGCAA